TATGGTCATTGACAGCTGTGATGACAGTATTGGCAGAAGTGTCCCAGCCCCCCCCTCGGTCCACGTCCTCAAAGGAAGCGAGCAGAGAGCTCCCCGAGGTGATCGCTCCGCCACAAAGACACATGGTGATCCCAGTGGGGCTCGGGTTGCACCATGGTGGCTTCTGCGGAAGGGCAGGCGAGCTACTCCATGGTGGCGCCGCCCAGAGCATCCGCCACCTCCTTCTCACAGGAAGTATCGTCGGAGGAGATCGAATGGACCTCCACTTCCCGGGCACTCTCTGCGGTGGCGGCGAGCCCTTGGATCGAAGCGATATTGAAACATGCCCGCCCCATCTCACTTGCTAGGCCACCAGCTTCACCGCTCGCGACCTCCTGACCCGACCTCGGTGGTCCCGGGGGCTCCGGCCTCCGCCACCATGACCTCCCCGATCTGACACCCCGACCTCCTTCGCCTCGGCCTTGGTGGCCTCGGGACGATTGAAGGAGCCCCTACCCCATCCCGACTCATGGGCCGCAGCCTTTTGTGAGGCATAGGGCGATTCCTCCCGCTTTGCAGTGTAAGGGCCTCGCCGGCACTCTCGCCCGGGCGACCCGGCCTGCTTGGTGCGGCCCTACACCCGATCTTAGATGCCCGCGTTGTATGGCGGGCTTAGCCTCCCTACCAGGTGGGCAGTAGAGCTAGCGCTCTGTGGCGCATATACGTGGCGCCAAAGCGAGCACCTCCGCATGATGCTCAATCGAGGGCAAAACACCAACAAGGTCGAGATACTAACCCGAGGAACGTATCGGAGATACTAACTACCCTACGCCAACACTCACCTCAAATCCATTACACAACACGGCTCAGCCAAAGACGGCTATTCCTCCTCGGCTGAATTTGCATCATAACCCGGTGGTAGCATAGCCTCGCACCGTGTCCCTGCGATGCCACGGCCGCTGACCTCATCGAACCGGGTTACCCCTCGACTTCCCCACGAAGCGATATGCTGGGCCCCACCCGCCCGCTCCATCTCGGCCGAGCCCACCCGGCCGGGACTGACAGCTTCCCTAACGCCGTGCCTCGAGCGTGCAAACCCCGCCCCGGCGAAGCGATCACTAGCCCCAAGTGCCCCTCTCTCCTCCTCCCGGGAGCACCGGCCTGATCCGCTGACGTCTTAGTGCTATTCTGACAAGGAGGTCTGTCAAGACCCGCACAGCTACTGCTCTGGCTCATCACTACTTCAAAGAATTCACCCATAAGGATTTCAAGGAGAGACACCTCTGCACCGTGAGGTCAGTTCTACCTACTCACGCAGATTTCTCCAAATTTCAGCTCGTGACTCAAGGATCTTCCTCTTGCGCTTTGCCTCCACATGGGCGCCCGCCTCTTCTGCTCATACGGCGCCTGAGCCCGGACCGCCTCACGCTCACAAGGCGTCCTGAATCCAAGCATGAGAGGTTTCAGACATCCCTCATCCCCTTGCCAAGGATGGCAAACCACGTATAAGGGAGCTGGGAAATGGTGGCGAATGATGAGGCCTGGGGGCCCCCGCAGCTTGATCTAAGTGATTCTTACCCGTGAGAGGTATTTCTTGTGTTCGGGCGATCGCGACAGGGGTCTGGCCACCGCTCTGGATCGCCTCTCCACCGCCTCCCTCACTCCGACATAGAATCTCCCTCGCTCTAGAGAGGGCGGGAGGGTGAACATCCGGGATGCCCTCGATCAACTCATCCCGGCCTCATCTTGAACGAGTGCGCCAACAGCCATCATCGGCAGCAAAGACTCCCATGGTGGAACGCCTCCACGACTCACACCTGCCAGGAGGTTGACGGGCCGCTGGCCTCCTCCGCTCCCTCCAGAGCTTACTGCAGCCTGGGCTGATCCTCCTTCACGATGCCATACTTCCACTTCTCTAAAACGTACCTCCACGATCCCACCGTAGTAGGGGAAGTCCACCGCTGTCATCATGCGGTAGAACCAACTGGTGTACCAACATGATTGGTTGATGCGAGCCGGGCTGGATGTAAAGGGTGTTACTACCCTGGCGCACTTGGAGAGTGCACCACTGCCCTCACCGCCTTCCTGGGCCTGCTGGGCGTGCCTGGCTGGCTTGGTGGTATGCCCCGCCTAGAAGAGGTGGAGCCACAGCCCCAATGGGGGGGCAATCCCCAGTACCCCTCGCAGACAATGACAAAGATGGTCGCTACCGCAGCGATGGAGTTGGGGTTGAAGTTATGGAGCTCCACGCCATAGTAGTGCAGTGAGCGCTCACATGAACTGGTCCACCGGCAGCCGAGACCACGCCGTGGAAGGGACACGGCTCACAACGAGCTAGCATCACCTCGAGCTCACCCGACTTGAAAGTAATCCACTCCGCCTCTCTCAAGGCTCTGTAACTGGATGAGAGAAGGCCATCGCTGCGACTAGCGACTCATAATATTTCATGGACACGCTTGACCGAATTCCTCAAGGATCCGCCTCAATGACAACAATTACCGCCAAGGAGTGCGTGGAGAATGCGACTATGGCGGTAAGCCTCTCTCTCTCTCTCCCTCTCTCCCTCGCCCTTCTCCCTTCTTCTCCCTAAGGCTCTCTGCTTCCTAGCAATGACTCGAGGGTAGCAAAGGCTAATGCAAAAAGGTAAGGAGGGAGGCGAGGCTCACATTTATTTATGTAGGAAGGGGGACGAAGCGGACGGAGGATGGCTAAATCGGGAAGTTTCCCTCAAATCTGATACAGTTAATCCGGATCCAATTTTACCACCCATGTACCCACCTTTTCCTTATTAATCGCATGAATAGTTATGTCCTATCCGCTGACACAGCGTCGCGTCTAACCGCAGTAGCAGTAGGTGCCATTTCGCCTCCCCAAGAAAATCGCCTCAAAAGCGCGACCGCCATTGTCACCCGACGGGAGGAAATATCCCCACCCGATTCCTTTCGACGAAGGAACTGGGCACCGAGCCTGCTACGGTCAAGGTGTTCAAGGTCGGGCCTCAAGGGTTTCGGCGCAACCACCCTAGGGCAATAGAGTCAGGGACGACTATGGGTGAGCCTGTACGTGGCCGAGGCCCAAGCAAGCGAAATGCTTGGGATGCCCTAAGTCATGTCCAAGATCGGCAGGAGGTCTCCGAATGGGATCCCACCAGAGGCATCGAGCCCCTCGGGGCCCATTGAATAGCCCCCTGCACACCCACTAGAGAAGCCCTCCGTACTTTTGGAGCGCATCTTTGACCTGCTAGCCGACCCTTTATCGAATGGGGCATGGGCCTCACTAGGACTTACCCGATAACAGCTCACCTAAGTGCTATCGCTCGCCACCGAGGGTAGCCTGGCATATTCCACCCCCTCCTCCGAAATAAAAAGGATGCGCTGAGGGTCGCACAAAAAGCTAGGGGAGCTCCTAACCACCCTCTCTCTGCAATGCAGAGGCTAGGGGCTCTTCCCGCAACCTTGTTGAGACCCAGCCGACCAGGCTCGCACGCGAGGGCCTTGCAAACAACCCTCCTTCCAAACAAAAAGGATGCACGAGTCGCACAAAAAGCCGTGGGAGCTCCTAATCGCCTCTCGCCTGCTGCAGGCTAGGGGGATCTTTCAAAACTTGCCGAGACCTGCTGACCCCGAGCTCGCACGCGAGGGCTCGGCAAACAACCCCTCTGTCTAAACGAAAAGGACACGCGAGTGTCGCACAAAAAGCCGGGGGAACTCCTCGACCGCCCTCTCGCTCCGGGTGGAGGCTCGGGGCTCTTCCTACACCCAGATCGAAGACAAGCAACCCAAGCTCGCACTTTGAGGCTCGGGAAAGACGCGATAAAGGGCATCGAGCCCACGGTCCAGGGTTCAAGGTCGGGCCCCAAAAGGTTTCACACAATTACCGCCCGAGGCAACAGAGTTAGGGACAACTATGGGCGAGCCCGTGACATGGCCGAGGCCCGAGTGCAAGCGATTGCTCGATGCCCTAAGTCGTGTCCGAGACCGCGTGGAGGTCTCCGAATGGGATCCCACCAGATGGAGGCATCGAGC